GACCAGAAACACCTTTTGGAACCAGAAACACCTCTGGGACGTGTCTTTAAGCCGAACTTCCTCATGGCAGAGCGCACCCCCTCCCCCCTCCCCACACACACTGCCCTGCAGACTCTCGGGTCAAAGTGAAAGTGAAGCTTAACTGTCTGCTGAGCTCTCAACATTAGTTCTCAGTCAGTGAAGCTCTTTTCAGATTAAAAATACCTTTGAGGAAATGTATTTTCAGATGCCAAGTAAACTACATCACAGCGCACACGAGCCCCCGTGTGCAAACCCCCCACCCCCCTTCCATCGAACAGGAGAAACAGAAGTGGAAGGTGGTTCTTAAAGAGACAGAGGCCAATTTCAAGGCGTTTAGAAGAGGAAGTGGTGAGAAGATAAGTTTATTTTCTATTTAAACATAAAAACAGCATTTTAATAACAGATAAAGGTGACATAGATACTTTATTATGGTATAGTATTTAAAAATATGCCTGAGAAACACATAATATAGGCCCTTTAAGAAAATTATTGACTGTCTCACTCATGCTCCTGTTCTAGCCTTTGCAGACCCAGCCAGGCTCTTTATACTACATTTTGATGCCAGCTTTGGTAGGATTGGTGATTTGCTCAATCAGGACTACCAAGAAGGCTTGCATCCTGTAGGTTTTACCAGTTGGAAGTTGAGAAACTCTGAAAGGAATTATCCAGTCCATCAACTTGCGTTTGTGGCCCTACAGTGGGAACAGACAACAACCTACTGACCTACGTCCTCACCACTTCTTCAACTCAGTAAAGGGTCTTACCAAATGGATGCCCAATAGTTTTGGTTGTTCTCAGTCTGAAAGCCACACAGTTATACTGTATATGTTACACTTTTTTATAATTTGCAAGAAATATTCACATGCAGTTTTGAGATTCTCTGCAAATATGAGAATAACTTTGATCATAATTCCTTTCTATTTTCTTTTTGTGAAAAAGAAGCTTCTCTTTAATGTGTCTCCACTTACCAAAACAAACATGTATACACTAACCTAACAACTTTTTTTTTTCAGATATTACATTGAATCACAAGTTTAACAGCTGGGAGCTGAAAAATCTCAAAAGTGGAACAGTACACCAGGTCCAGATATCTGCCTTTACCTCTGCAGGAGAAGGAGTACGAAGTGCCGCAAGCTTCTTCAAAACTCATCATGATGGTCAGATAAACTCAGCAACTTCCCCTCAACAAAATCTTCTTTGAAAACCATTTCTCCTGAAGATTCAACTCTTTGGATTTTGTTTTTCTTCACAGAGAAGACGAATCTGATTGCTTTAATTGCAGTCTGTGTTGTGGCCGTTTTGCTGGTGCCTGGGTGTCACGTAATACATAGGTACACACTGTATATGTTGTTATATTCATATTTTACATAGGTTAATATCTATTCCTCACTGTGCCAAATAACTCAACAATAACCTTCACCTCCTCTGCCCAGGCTGAAAGCCACCATCTGGCCCAGCATCCCCAACCCTGGAAACAGCAACGCCGTGCAGAAAATGGACAAACCCAGTCAGCTGGTATGTACCGGTTTCTGTCAGTCCATCATCAGTAAAGGATTTATTTCACTGAACCGTGACTGTTTGGGCAAACTTTGAGTTGCGGTCTCATTGATTTCTGAGTGTTTGTGACCAGTGAGCCATGTGGCTGCATTTGAAATGGCCAATTTCTGAAAACTGCAGTCCATTTTTGTGTTGACATCCAAAACCTTATAATACAGATTTTGCAAAGTGCTTGAAAAATGTACTGTAGGTCAGTTATTCCTAAAGTTGAGGTTGAAACCCACTTTGTCATGAACAACATCTGAGGGGCCCTGAGATTATTTCCAGAAAATAAAGCTAAAAATAAGAGACGATATTGCTAGGATTTTTATGAAGTAAAAGGACAGCAGACATAAATGATTAACAATAATTTAACAGTTGTTTAGGCTGTTTGTTCTGTCATTGCATTAATGTTTTGTTTGTTTATAATAAGGTTTGCTCAGCTAAACCAACGATCGTTGGTGTCACAAGTCTCTGCTGCTGTTATTTTGTTCTTCAGAACCAAAAACATTTTGGAACCACTGTTCCCGCACTATACCCACCTTAGCAGACACCCCACCATGTGTGATTTCATCTACTGGAGTCCAACTCTCCAAATAAAGTGAAGAAAATTTGAACTAGCTTTTAATCAATATTTATGATCAGTGTGGTTTTTAGACCGAGACATTTGAGGCTGTAGCCTCAGATGTTTTTGTCATAAGAGAAATTCAGCTCTGTCCGTCCTCTTTACCCACATCTTCCTTTCCACATCATGGAGTCTCTGGTGACCATGGCCGGCAAAATGCAGCATTAGTTTAATAGAATTATGGAAACTAAATTGAGAAGGATTCTATACATCTCTGAATATTTTTGAGCTGACCAACATACTTCAATGATAGGACCATTTGGTCTTTTCTTCAAGTAATGTTCTGTCAAATATTTGTCAGTAGTTACAACCATTGATATTTGTTAATGGATTGACGTCACATGGTGAGATGTGCAGAGGTACCACCGTTGTTGTTGATGATCAACATGGACCGTATGTACAGGTGTGCAGAGCCCATGAAAAGGAAGAGCGACACATCAGGAACTAAATGTTTTATAAATTAACACATAATGAAATTCACAGACAAAAGCACAAGGAATAACATTTCACATGTAAGCTTCGTACATTTTTCTCCTCTTTGCATCTTCTCTGAAGAGCGGCAGCATGGGAGTCTGAAAACAAGTTTCAAATGAGCTGAAAACAAAGATTGTTCACCGTCATGGTTTAGAGGAAGGATACAGAAAGCTATCTGAGATTTCAGCTTTCAGTCTCCACTGTGAGAAACATTGGGCCTTATGCAAGAACATGTTCGTATTCTTATCCTAAATTTCTCCTACTTTTGTTCGTACAAAGGGTTCGTACGAACATGTCACATCAGATTCAACAAACACTTCTATCTTCTGGAAACGTGCGTAAATGAGCTGCGTAAATTCCACCTGGTCGTATCCAGCTGCACGTGCACGCGAGAGGAGATTAGCATAATTACCACCCCAAAAACACCATATAAGGCAGCTGTGTGAAGCTGACACCCCACCCACGTCAAAAAATCCATCCAATAGTCTGAGT